CAATTGACGCTTTCTGAAATTAAACTGACGGTCTCTAAAATACATATGGATAAGGTGTAGAACGGTCCAAAACAGTCGCACAGTTTATTATTGGAACTTTTGATAGCCGAGCCGTTGCCATTTTGTTGATTGATAAACTGTGCAATTGTTTTGAACCGTTCTAGAACCGCCCTTTTTTCGAACCAAAATAAAGCCAACGATAATATACAGATACATCCGTATTTGAGTAGTTACCAAATAAATAGTTGGAAAATAGTCAGCGAAATTTGTCAGAAGAGTTAACTTTTTGGGTGGTTGGGCGCCTTTCAGCTTTACATCTCGATACACCCATTATTTTCAATGCGTACTCTCTTGCTGAAAAGCATCCGGGAAATATTAAATTTTCAGGTGATTCAACGGAGTACATGAAAAAAATATCGGTGGCTTACTCGTCTACTTTGTACCATTCGAATAAAGTGAGCTTATCAACAGGTTCTTTTCAATTGAAAACAAAAATACTTCAGGCATGGTTTATAAGCTTAGATATTCTTCAGAAAGTACCATCGGGCATAATATTTTGGTAGTTCTGATGCAGGGGATTAATGCTTCTTAGAAGTTGGGATATTATCCGTTGTGTTTTAAGGAAGCCAATGTGACTCCTATGCATAAGGGTAGAGATTACGATTACTCCTCATATTAGCGGCCTCTATATCCCTTTTGCCTACATTGTCGAAAATATTCAAATTACTGATGAAGAGTTAAATTGTATCATTTTCTTTAAATCCAATAAAAAAATCATACTTTGTCCTCAAAACTTGCGCACAAGAATTGGCATCAGTTCTTTGCAAACTGTTGTCATTCTCTTACAGTCGAGATGTTTTCCCGTCTATCTGGAAATGTGCCAGAGTGCAGCCCACCCCGAAAAAGGGCAAGATCTTCCTAGCATTTATGGTCCCATCACACTTATATCCGCACTTTCGAAACTATGGAAAAGGAAGTCACCCTGAAACTGGTTAAATATCTCGAAGCCAATAAGCTTATCTCTGACAAACAGTACGGGTTTCGTTCTAAAAGATCATACATCAGTCATGTTTGGAATTCGTCTCTCGAAAAACATGGCGAATCCAGAATTGTAGAATTGGACTATTCGACATCCTTTTGATCAGGTGTGGCACAAAGGTCTCCTCAGCAATCTTCCCTCGTTTGGTCTTCCGAACGAAATTCGTCATTGGCTGGGGAGCTTTTTGGAAGGCAAGCCACTGCATATTGTGGCCGATGGTGAGCCTTCTGATACACTGCTTATAAATGCCGGCGTTTTCTAAGGTTCAATTCTGTCCCCAACACTGTTTCTCCTTTTTAAAAATGATAACCCAGTTTAAATGATGTCGGGACAAAACCTTTCTATCAATCTCTCAGTCTCTTGTTTGGGTGACCGCATCGACCAACTCGTCTTGGCATGACCATGTATCTTCGATCGCCAAAACCGCTTCTCAAAAATTAGGTTTCCTGTTTCGTGCAAAAAAAAAATTCACTTTTGAACAACTTCCTCTACTTTATAAGGGTCATATCAAACCATGTATGGAATACTGCTTTCACATCTGGAGCGATACTCCCAAGCATTCTTTGGCACTATTAGATGCAGCGCAAAGCAGAGGAATAATGATCGATAATCCAGCTCTCACCGAGGCATTGTAATCTCTCGAACATAGATGTAACGTGGCCGACTTCGTTATTCTGTCGCTATTACCATGAGAGATGTTCTGACGAGCTTGTTAGAATCATTCCAGTTAAAAGAAGTTATTTGAGAACCTAAAGATCCTCACAGGCATCGCTATCTCATCCGTATGGGGTAAAGTTGGCTACCCCGAGGACCTCTAAAAGTAGGGCTTCTTTTTGGTGATGTACCTACTGCCCTCTTCTGGAACTTCCTGCCTCCCACTTTGTCTTTTGTGAGCGGTCCAATATATTAAAAAAGTGCAGTTTTGAACAAAACAAACAGGTGATGGAACCTGCAGGTTTTCAAGTCGTCTCTATCACCAAATTACGGAGACGAGAGTGTGTCATTCATAGAATTTAGTTAAAGAAGCTTCATCGTTATGATGTTAGGCGGTGGCTCTCGATTTGATCTACTCCTATTTTTCTGGACGTAATCAGATTCAAATCGTTTTTGAATGCATTGGACCGTTCCGCTGATCAATTTGTCGATGTGGGCAAGCCTCATGACTCTGTGTTTGGTCCAGTACTGCTCCTAATTTACATCAAGATAAGTTAGATCTAACCCGGATATAAAAGAATACTTCATTATCTTCGCCGATGACACAACTATTTTGTGGCACCCTGCGATATTGAATGCCGTCATCCTAGATGACCTCGCGAAAATTAAGGATTGGCGTGACTGTTCTCTTCTGTTGGTCAACTCAAGTAAAGCGTCTTGAGTTTGAGGTGGACATGTAGGGACTGGTAGTTGGTAACGCTATCATCGAGTAGAAGCATTCCATCTGCTTGGCATACAGTTGGGATAATAACGAATCAGTTAGACTCCTTGATGCGCAGGTCTATGTACTATTCAGTAAAATATTTTCGTCTTGGATATGAAATCTGCTGCTGCGTGTTTTTTTTTGAGAACTGACGGTAAGCTATTCAAGTTTAGCATATTTCTATCCAAGATCAAGGTATATCCGATATCCGATAATTGCTCGGTCCTGGCAAACACAGAAAAAGACACAATCTAAATGCATTGGAGCAAGTATACGAATGCATCAGTCTAGAACTTAACACAGATACGACATGAAACCTTTACCAGCCTTCCCAGATGCACCAGATCTAGCTGTAATTAACGATAGAGAACGTCTATAGGATATAAATAATACTTCCTATACCTCGTTAGACATAAGTCCATTAGGTCTCTTGAAAACCGTATTTGATATCCACTACATAGCTTTCCAAACTAAGAGTCATACCTGACACCTGAGATGCTTGGAAAAGTAACAGCAGCGCTGCGTGAGAAGAATACTTGAAATGGACTGACTTGAAAGGAATGCTAAAATTTCGATTCCACACACTACATTCAATCAACACTACCTATATTCAATACTGAAAAGATTTTGGTTAGGTAGCCAGTTTCAACAGCAGGTACTGAGGTCTCTGGTTACGGGAGGCTACTCAGCTATAGTTGTTATTTTGAGCCAACATCTCTAGATTGATTATTGCAATTTGTTTGTTAGGATATTCGCTCGTCAGGGTAGGAAAGTGTTAGTAGATTCAACAAGGCCCTAATGCACGCTCTAAATACCCAAAATAAAAATTGAATAATGGACAATGGCAGACAACCTTCTTCTCTAGTCTCACATTTTCTATCTCCCCTTCGGTACTTCGTTTTCTGTGGCACACCCCTGTTCCCAAAAACTTCACAGCGCATACATGGTTGCAACATTTACCATTTGCTTTTCTATAGGAAACGTTTTTAAAAGTTAAGATTTTAAGAAATAATATTTCAAATAGGTAGTTTTCCTCAGATATTAAGTTTTGACGAGTTTTATAGACAATACGAATACTTTCCAAAATAAATAAACTATACAGTGTTAGGATCCTATGAACCAAAAATAAAGGTTTGCATGAATATCGTGGACTTGCTCGACTAAGATATCTAACTGGTCGTTTTTGCAGAACAAATTAGCTGTTTAGCAGACCCAGACTAGAATTGCCCCAAAAGCAAATCCCATATCTAAGACGTGACTGAATCAGGGAGTAGTACACAGCTCTGCCCATTAATGGACCCAGTTCCGTGGCCGCAATGTTTATCGCATAGCATCCTGAAGTTTTTCTCCTACCCAAAGCAACAATATGCGAATCAAACCTAAGCTCCTTGTCTATTATAAGTCAGAGAAGTTTAGTGTGAGGGTGACTCCAATTACCAAATCCTCCATGTGACACTTAAAGCTCACAATGTTTGTTTTATTAAAATTCAGGAGCAAAAGGTTTGCGCCACACCAAGCTTTGATTTTCTTTATATCATCAGAAATAATCTTTCAAGGAGGTCAAGTCTCTACAGTGCCACAATACACAAAACCTTCCTCCAATGTCCAAAGCAGCCAAATCATTAATAAATAGAAGAAATATAGTTGGACCCAAAACGGACCCCCGAGGAACCCCCAATTAATATTCCGACTCATTGTATATTCAGACTTCATAAAAACTTTTTGGTATGAATCGAACTACGAAAGTGTCACTCCTCTGAAACCATAGGAATGGAGCTTGCGCAAGAGAATCTCATGACTAACAAAATCAAACGCCTCACAACAAGTCACAAAACGCCACCGCGGCAACTCCATCCCTGTTTATTCGCGAATATAAATATAAATCTTCCAACAATCTGAACATTGCGTCATTAGAACCCCTGTGCTCTTGAAATCCAAACTGGCCATCATTTAAAATAATATTCACATTCATAAATGGGGTCGTTCGTGATTTAACTAAATTTTCAATGATCTTTGAGAGGGTAGGCCACAATGAAATTGGCCAGTAATTTGAAGGTTCATCCGTATAACCTCCCTTATATAGAAGTTCTTATTCTTGACACCAGAAACAGCCTGCACAAGTTCATTAAGGTTTGTCGGTAGATAATGAAGGGAATCAACAGATAGAATGACACTCCTAGTAAGATTTTCGGCTATAGAGCAATACAAACTGTAACAGTATATCATCACGACTTCTACTGTGTCTGTTCTCGATTTACAAATGTCGCATCGACTCGACTTCGCTTCGTTGGCTAATTTCACGTCGCGTGCTCAAAACACATTCTTTCCTGTAGCTGGTTACATAAATAGCTAGAGGGTGATTGGTTTGATTATGTGATATACTATGCAAACAGCTTCCACTAATGCCAAAAGTCATTTTTCCACGATAAAATCGGATTTTGACATCAAGCCTCCCAGGGCCAAATTCAGGCAAATTTTAAATTTGATAACATTGATAACATGTATGCCTTGTAGATTTACTAAGGTCATTTCTTATTGTTTCAGGTTCTAGATGGTAAGCTAGGCGATTCGAAAAAACAATCTCCAACTCAACCCACCGAACTCAAAAATGGTTTCGTGTTACGTCGTAGTGCCTCATCCGATTCCGCTAATCATCGAACCAAACATTCGCATCATCGAAAAGACGAAAACAGAATTCCCGTCTACAGTAAAGATTACGACGAAATCGATCAAATCTACGATTACGTTAGAGGATTCGCACCGTTACCCAAAAACATTCGGTCGCCATTTTCTGACGCGTCGCCGTCTTTAACGTCCCATAGTTCTACACCGTCACATCCGGTGTCAGATCTCACTAAACCTGAACCACCGCCTATTGAAACAATACCAACAAAGAAATTACAAGCAGAAAAACGAAACAGAAAGTCCGCTTCGACGATAAGAGATAAAGAAACTCCCCCAAAGGTTCATCAAGCACACCAGAAGACGCCTCCTGGATTACCGAAGTTGTATGTAAAAAATGGGCATTCGCAGAGGAGCAGGTTGTTGAGGCAGAAAAGTGCTTCTCCTATGAAAGAGACCCCACCTAGTCCAATTTCCAAGAGTGGGTCTCCATTATTTAATATTCGTTATAAGTCGCTGAATAATTTACAGGTAAGACATTTTCTTTTTATCAAATGAAACTTGATTTTATAATGCCAAGCACGACTATAAAATAAATTTATTAACGATGAAGTAGGTAGCAAAAGATAGCAATATCAAACACCTTCGATGTCTTTAAATTTGATCATAAACCACCTTCACGAACATAAATTCAAATTGTATTTGAGTATTTATTTTTTAATGCTGTAAGTCATAATTTATTTATATGCTATCTGTTATTTTTTATCGTTCAGTTATTTAGCTGGCATAAACTTATCAATTAACAATTTCTAGGTTTTCTTTATTTCAACTAAAAACGTTATCATAGCGCAAGCCAATGATATAAACGTCATACCTTAGATACTAAATCATAAGAGCGTAGTTCCTTTGAATGGTACGCCTTAATCAAAAGACAAACTAAAAGACCATAACTCACTATTTTATTGTAGTATTTCATTGTTCAAATATGGCATCGCCATAAATAAAGTAATTGTTGTCAATGAACTTGGCATTGTACATCGTTGAGAAATTCTCCTTTTGTTTTATTCGCAACGCCAAGGTATCGAAGATTTATTTTGTAAGGCCTTGTATAAAAATAAAAGTTCCTAGTTTCTTGTATTTCAAGTTGGCCGGAAAGAATGCTTAGCGCTAGAAGCATATTTTGCACATCGATTTAATTTACACAATATTTAGAATGTTATAATTTTTTTTCCAGGCGATGGAACTAGACGGTACTCTGGATTCGAGTAATTCCGGAGGTCGAGCCTCGGGTGATTCCGGGACTGGTACCAAACAGCCTGAAAAACGATCTCGTAAACTGTCGAGACCACGAAGTCTAACGAACTTGGTGTGGGAGGTCAGGGAACATCCAGACATTTCGATGCCCCTGGTGGATAAATCCAAGAAAATCGTTGATCCGGCGGCCATAGTGTATAATAAAAAACATTCCAAGTATTCTATTAGTGGACACAAAAATCGGGGAACCCTATATTTGTAATTGTAGGGCCTGCAGGTGGGTGAAGGTATCGCTTGGTACCGTTCCACAGCTTAGCTATTTGTGATTTGTATAATATAAGATTTTTTAATGAGCACGTCTACTTCCACTTATAAAGCTCACTTTGTATTTTTTTTCCAATATTTGATTGAACAAATTTGAAATTTTGCTCTTTTGATTAGTCTTTCGATAGCTCTGGAGGCCATGCTATAAAGAAAAATATTTCATTAGTCCATTTTAGATTGAATTGCTGAGAAGAAAATGGACATAACTCCATTTTTGGGAAAATCAAAGTCGCATAGTTCCATCGTTGATCACAATACAATACGAAAAAATTTAGTCTAGTTCAAGCGTCGACTTTTCAGCGTGAAAGGAAAGTAAATCTCATTTTGAACTGAATGCATTTTGCCATTTTTAAGACATTTTTATTTTTATCATCTATTGATTGTTAATATTTGAGCCATGTAACTTTATAATTTCATTATTATTGATGAGTGGTAGATAAAAGAGAACATTATTATTATGTAATCGTTATTATCTCTGATTTGAAGACTACTGAAATTACTACGTATATTTCACACGTCTAATCCGACTTGATTGTATATATTCTGTATTCGACTGAGAATAAGAATAGATTCAAATTATTACTGGAATAAACAGCACCTTTTATCCGGTCAAAAATGCCATCTAATCTCGTAACTAACGATATTTCCTAATCCGGTTTTGGGTATAGGTATAGGTACCATAAATTTCATATACGCCGTTCAATTTCTGTTTGGCATCCCCTTTTTATTAGAAAAACATTTCAATTAAACTATCGTCAGCCTAAAGTCGTTCTCATCTTCTCATATCACGTGAGTTTTTTCTGAGTTCATTGATTCAGCAAAATAATTTGCCTGTTCATAATCTCATGAGTATAACATTCCCGGGTTCGTTTAGCAAGATTGAACGGTGAATTTTTCAACCTCTTCTTTTAACAAATATTCTGAAAAACGAAATGAAAAACAAATAGGACCTACGTTGTGGAAACTTACTCAATTTTACTTACTGGACATGCGCCCGACATAGCAAAATTAGGGAAATTTGAAGGAAGTTGTAATATGTAAAATAAATGAAAAATTTGAGTATTAAAGTGAATCGTACCGTTCTCGACGTGGAACTAACGAGGGGAAAGAGCACGGTAGAGAAACCCTTGATCCAACATTTCTCATAAATCAAAACATACTGTGTCATTTAAATAAATAATTGTGAGTCAATAATCAATAAAAGTTCAAATTAGGTACCGTCTCTGTCCTTTTGCTAAAATTTCAATTCCACAAACTACATTCGATCAACACTACCTATATTCAATACTGAAGAGTTTTTAGTTAGTTAGCCAGTTTCACCAGCAGGTACTGAGGTCCCGTACGGGATGCTACTCTGCTATAGTTGTTATTTTGAGCCAATATCTCTTTGCTTTGTTTGCTAGGATATTCGCTCGTCAGGGTAGGAAAATCTGAGTAGATACAACAAGGCCCTAATGCACGTTCTGAATACCCAAATTAAAATCCCAGCACAAAAGACAGCACACAATTTCTTTGGTTTTAATTAACTTTTTATCTGTTTTGTTCACAGCATGAAATGATTTTTGTTAAATACATGAACAATGCACATGCTATAAAAAATATTATAAACAAACAAAAAACATTAAAATGAAAAAAATAATACTTGCATAAATTGAACTCTCAAAAAACAAAATAACATTTATTCAACTGACCTGTGATCGCTCCTTATGACACACAAACTAATCACAAATTGAAATGAACAGTCAGTTTAATACACATAAAAATTGAATAATGAACAATGGAGGACAAGCTCAAGCTTGTTCGCTCTGGTCTCGTCTCTCATTCTCTTCTATCTCCCTTTTTCGTACGTTCCTTGTGGCGCGTCTTCGTTCAACTCTAAACTTCACAGCGCAGACATGGTTGCAAATTTACCATTTTTTCTATAGTAGACGTTTTTTAAAAAGTTAAGATTCAAAGAAATAATACTTTAAATAAGTGGATTTCCTCTGTTTTTATTTTCGAGCTGTCGCATATCGGTGAAAGTGCGATTAGCCATAACCTAATAATAATAAAAACCCCTATATTTGGTACTATTTTGTTATGAACTTAGATGACCTAGTGCTCATCAGAACAGCGATCCCAAAAAAATCAATGAGAATAGAAGTACAAGTATCATATCTTGAAATATGGCAGAAGTTCTAAGTTTCATACGACAGGTAGGTACTTCATCAAGGCTGCCTCCATTGCGAGAAAGGCTTAAAAGGCTGGCAGAATTTTGACATGTTTTCTTATTATATACCTAAGATGACTATGGCTCTTGAAATTGAATTTCCATCCAGATCAAAAATCTGGATTAGGCGTGTCAAATAAGGTAGTTAGACTTGCAATAATTGAATGCAATTTTGTTTCACTAATAAACCGAAAAACACAAAGTGACCTTATCAATATTTTATAACAAATTTTGCACTTGGATGTATCAAGGAACCAAAAAATAACAAACTACCTAATATTTAATATAACCATATTTTTGGTGAATCTTGCATGTACATATTTTATTGCTTACCTTTCCAGTGAGCTTTTGTAGGGTGTTTCAACCTTTTTAAGCTTATATTGGATTATGAATAATATACCCAAGAAAATGTAAACGATTTTTGTAAAATAATTTGAATAGTATGTTGTTTACTAATTGAATTTGAAACCTGATTTGGAAATAATAGGTACCTATCTAATTAACATAACCACAAATTAATATTAAAAAATATTGAGTCAAAATCCATGCCAATTGATATATTTTAAATAATTTCTCTATATTTGTGTATATTAAATCTACATTCAAATGAAAGATAGTACAGTAGAATAAGGAAGTTTTAAGTTTGACATTAAATTATTTGCAGTGTAGTGATTGGTATGTAAGCTATTCACAAAGTGCCATCTAATTATTTTTTTAGTAATTTAATCTTTAGCTTGAATGTGAAGAAAATGCCTAATTATCGTAGCTTAGTTGTTATGGAAGACAAAATTGAATTATTACGATTAACAAATGGAGTTTTAAATTTTTAAAAATTTCGCATGTGCCTTCTTACAAATATCTATACTTAAATAACACTTGATTACTTTTTTGCTAATGATTACTGTACTATCTTCACTTTGTGGAAGTAGACTAGTTCTATTTTTTTTTCTAGTTTTGTTTTTTCTATTTTCTAAGACTTGTGATTTGTAGGGTTTAGTTTTTTGTATTTTTTTAATTCGTAGTATTTAAGTTTAAACGTTTAAACGATACTCGGTGTCCATATCATTAAAAGTCAAATAAAATAATAATAATAATTACAAAATATTTATAGTTTTTTTTTACTCCTCATGATATTTCCAAGGTTTCTCATTTCAACATCGCAAAGACATTCGAGTTCATCAACTCCTATAAATTAAATAAGAGCGGTAATGGTATTAGCTTCGTGATTATGAATATAACAAACACCAGGAGACCAGGAGCATATTATTAAAAAAATGTTCACAGAAATGTTTGCGTGGCCACACAAGTTAAAAAAACTAACAGTATCATTATGGCACACCTGAACATGCAGGAACACGATCCGTCGCACAAAACGGCCCATTCATTACCGCTTTTCCTTATTGACTTTTCGCCGCCATAATATGACCGGAAATGGCATTATGTCGTTCTGTTGACGACGTTAATAGATGCGGCGTCACATCCAAATTATACTGTTACAGTGCTTGGTTAAAAAGCGTTTCTTTATTCCTGCGGTGTATTGTTATCATGCAGGCGGATGATTGGTCGTTGGTAAAAGGTGTTATTGATGATGTATAGAGAAAGGTTTCGGTTATGCAAGAAAAAATTTTTGAGCGGAGTCATTATAACATAGGTATTGCCTCATATTTATTTTTTTTTAAAACGCTACTCCAAATTATTGATTCGATTAGGTACACTTGTTATTGTGTCACCGGCTATTACTGAGCTATTAAACATCAAAAAATAGAGTCGCCATCCAACTGTAATAGAGTGACGTTGGAATTTGACATCATTCAGCAACGCCATAACGCCATGCTGAAAAATATATCGTGATGGATTTTCGTTCCGAGCTTGTCTTGCTTGTTGAGCCAGTGCAAATGATTTATTTGGAAAAAAAAATTAATAACAGCATGAAAACTGTTGAGAAGGGAAGAAAACATACCGGAAACAGCGGGAAAAATATATTAAACTAATGTCTGTCCAGCGACTCTATGTCTACGGGGCAACGGTGAGGGGAATGCAGTTGTAAAAAAAAATGGCTGATTTAATTCATGAAATACCCAGCTGCGTGCGGAACTTTTTGGAAGTGTTATAGTATTGCAACTCGTACACGAAAATTGATAATGACCAAACCACCGACACTGGATATTTCAATATAAATCGATATTCCAAGATGGGAGAATAAAATGACAAGAACCCTGGCCAAAAGCGAGACGTAAGGTGACGTTAGCCCATTGACAACCGCATGGTTCCCCGTGGCAACGGCAATCATGCCAAAAACTCCACCAATCAGATTCATCCAGGCCGGATGCTTGCCAAATTGTCAAAAGCTGATGGTATCTTCAGAAAATGTTAATTTTTTTTCAATAGACAAATGTATAAGAAACCCTTTTTTCACATAACCTCAAATTTTCAGAGAAAAGTTGAATACCCGTTTATTTTGTTTTGGATTTCTATCTCCCATAATTTTTTTTTTTATGTTCACGAAATTCGGTTTAAACTTACCTTTTTATGCCCCGAATACGCTGTAATTTTTTCAGTTCAAAATATCTATTTTTACATTTTATTTTGATTTTAAATCTATAAAGAGGCCACACTTTCACCTGAAAATGCCCAAGTCCTGGAAAAAGTTTTTAGAAAAAACGCAGTGGTCTTTTTTCTCGTTGAAACGTGCACTTTAAGATGGTGTAGAAAAAAATAAACATTACTGTGGAAAAATTTGGCACAAAATGCGAAAAACTGAAAAAACTTCCCAAGCAGCGCTTCTACGCCCTAATAACGTCGCCATTGATGCCTTGACGTTAAGGCGCGATGTCAAATAGGCGACAATACAACCCTTATTTCCACCAAAATGGAGAATCATTTCATGGTTGTAACGACGTCGCAGGTCGCGTGGCTTTACTAATTTTTAACTCATAGGTCAGCATACACAACCAGATTTATTTGAACGTTTACTAAACGTCATAAACCATGACTAACCTAAAAACAAATACCAAACCAAATAAAGGACGTTCCAGGTTTTATTGTACCAAATTCGCACTTTTGGTTTATTATTAGTGTTATTTTATTTCCCAACTCATCAGATCAAAAACAAAATGAATAGTTACCTATAAGAATATTGGGGGACATAAAATAATAATGGCGCCTGGCCTTGTCAACAATAAAATACGTGAAACTTATTATTTAGCGCCTGTTGGCACAAAAATTTCAAACGAAGTCAACTTCTCTGTCAAATATAATTATGATATGCACAAAAAACAAACGGGCTCCTATTTTGTTAATATTTTCCAAAAAAATAAATAAATCTGTAATTTACATAATTTCTTATATAGTTCCGATCGGTCAAAAACATATTTGGGCAAGTCCGATTTACACAAAATAATTTTGACAATTTCCTCATTAAGGATTGATTTTTCAGATATCATTTTATTTTTATTAAATGTGCAGCAATGGTGGATGATTAGATAGGACCTTGCGATATATTAAATGGTTGAGTTAATAATCTGCACCATATCCTAACCTAATGCGTGTTTTGGTCATGGAAATGGACTTATTCTATATAAACATAGGACCATAGGTAATAAAATAGTACAAACATATAAACCAAGAGTGACTATAGGTCCCATATGGTAACCTATCGTAACCAGTTTTTTAGGTGCTTCAACGCTCTCATGCATTTGAAATTTTTCAGGAAACTGTAAATGTTTTATTTTTGATGTTGTTCAAAATCTTGAAATATTTCCTTTTAACCCGACATTTATTGAATCTTTTTCAAGTTCCTAATTGGAAATTACAATTTCCCTTCTCGATCCATTTCCTTCATGTTTGGAATACAGAATAAATTTCTCCCTTTTCACTAAATCTAAAAAAAAAAAACCCTCTTCTGTATCTAATAATTATGTGGATGAGTATTTGAAGTTCCTGTTTTGTCCCATATCATCTCAAAAATACAAAAGCAAATACTTATTCAAATTTTTAAAAACTTTTTATAGTAACGCCATATCTATTGTTTGTTTATGTTTTCATTTGACTGATGACAGTTTATTAACGAACGACGCAAAAAGTATGAAATGCTACACCAAATTTTACCTGTGTCTAATTTTAACCTTGGCCGGACGTTTTTCTAAGACCTCTATCTGACCTTATGATTGGTCGTGTCAGACGACGTTTTTAAAACGTTTCAGAGGTAACAGGATATGAAGATAATGACGGATTGAAGTCTTCAATGCAACGTTGAATTTGATACAATATTATGACGTCCATTTTACGATTTTTATCTTACCTTATGATTGGTCGTATTAGACGACGTTTAAAAAACGTTTCAGAGGTTACAAATAAACAAGAGGACGACGGATTGACGTTATCAATTTAACGTTAAAACTGGTTTTCATTTATTACGTCAAAATTGAGCTAGATATAGGTCCGATTTCTTGACCACATATTAATGACGACGGCACTACGTAATTTTAACAAAAAATTATTGACGGTCACGTATCTGCACTTCTGACGATGTTCTAGTTGGTTAATACGTAGTCGCAGGGACATGTATGTGCTACTTGGCTTGATTTTTTAAAAGTAGGTATTTACTTACGTTTATGACATACGACATACAATCACTTGTCCATAAGTCTTTGCTTTTTTGATGGCAGTTCTTCATTGTCAGACTGGATGAAATTTTTCGATTCTAGTGGATCTTTGAAATTTTCAAAACCGCCATCGTCTTTTTGGAAACAGAATTCATATGATGTGCTCTCTGTGCAATACAGTAGGTCGAGTTAAAACCATGAAAAGAATTGATGGTGAAAACAATGCTGTCAAACGTCAAATAGCCTTGGCTAGACGAAAAACTACTGGGAGGCCGCTTATACAAGTAGTATCGGAACAAACCAGGTCATGCATAAATTGTTACAATTGACCTTTTCAATTTAAAAGCCTCTCTTTCTGGCGTCAGACGCCAAAAGGGCATGAAAACAATGATTGACAGCCGTTGACAGTGGTTTGTTGACAATACTATAATACGTGTGGAAACTGGAAACTATAGGTTTTTTATGTTTAAATGAATTTAATCAACATTGTATAACATTATCATATTTGGCAAGAAATCAGATATCGTCGGCATCATATGAAAATTGCCTAAGTCCAAAAAAGTTAATTTTACAGGAGGCGCAAAAAACCTTTGTGAAGAAAAACTACATGATACAAATCGTAACAAATCATCGGCAAAAATGCACAGGAGAAATTGGACTTACGCAAGTTTCACTCTGTCTTATGACGACGACGGACTTGTGCAAATTTCTTTTCATGGTTGTGTGGCTCCATTTAACAATTTATCTCCCAAATATTTTGTTGGATCATAGATTATTGAGTTTCTCACAAGACTGCACTAAAATTTTAATTTTGAAAAAAATTGGACTAAAGCGGCGTTTCCACAAGCATAGTTCATTGGCGCCAGTGCACGTGCCAGTTTGCTGGCGTAATAATAGTGGTGCCAGTATCTGTTTCCACTTGATATCAAAAATGTTTAACTGGCGCAGTAGATAAATGAAAAATGGCGTCAACTTTAATGTTGCAGTGAATATTTTTTTCTAGAATTATTGCAGAAGACCCGAAAAAACAAGAAAAAGAAACATAAACACAAGATCTGGATACGAAAATGGATTTCACGCAGAAAAGCTCTAGGAGCATCAAATAATTTACTGTCTGAGTTAACGGATGAAGACCATGAGGCATTTCCAAAGCTTCTTATTTTGCTTTCGGCAGCAGTGATATCAAAACCACTTAAGAACACGAGAACTCGTACAATACGTCAACACTTATCCTTATATAGCATCATCCCGTTTATTCCTAGCTTTGTAACACAAAAGTTTGTGATTCCACAAACAGGGATGCTCTTCGATAAACTTTATTTGTTCAATTTTTTAGATTTACTTGACGTTTCCATTACTTTTTTGAAAACGAATAGTGAAAGCTTTTGTATTTTTTTTGACAAACTGTCACACATGGCAAACTGGCGCCAAAAAGTAGACCTCCATTCTACTTTACTAGCGCATGAATAAGTGGCGCAAGTTAACTGGCGCCAGCTAATTTTCCGAGTTTCCACGCGCCAGAAAAGTTACGCCAGTCGACTGGCGCCAATAAACTATGCATGTGGAAACGCCGCTT